CCAGCTACCAATATTGTTATTCTTTTACGTGCTTTTCCAACTTATTCTGCAAAAATTGACAAAGTTTTCTGGATGGGTGGTAATTTAAATGTCCCTGGAAATGTATTTAGCGTACCAGAAAATACTCGTGCTGAATTTAATATTTTTCTTGATTGCGTTGATGCTCAAGAATTGCTTGCTTCTGACTTGGATATTACTTTGGTACCATTAGATTTTACAAATCAAATTCCATTTAGTCCTACTCTTTTCAACAAATTCTCAAAACTCAAAAGCTTTTATGGTGTGTTTGCATATAATCTTTTGTCTGCTATTCGCGCAAGTTGGCCTGGTGGGGACTCTGCATTTTATACTGGTTATTATCTTTGGGATCCTATTACAATAGCTGTTGTTAAAAATATTGGTGTTGCAAAAATTGTATCAAATCGTTCATTGACTATTACTTGTGATGGAAACCCGAGTCATGATGGTCAGTTTGTACATTCTAATATCCTTACAAATTCAAATTTTAAAGTTGCAATTGACGCTATTAATAGTGACTCAATTGAAAATTCCCCATTTTTCCAAGATTTTCTTAATGTAATTAACTGCGATTAAAATGTATATCACTAATTTTGATTTATTTCAAATTTAAAATTAATATTTAAATAAGCAAAAATTATGCAGTACACATCATATTATAGTTAGTCTTATACGGTTTACGCGATACGTATTTGTCCAATAATGAAAACTGGAAAATTTATGAGCCAATATAATAAAATAATGACCGTTTGTGCAAATGTATCCTTTATGAGATCTGATTGGCCAAATCTAATAATTTGTAATAGTGTGCGAAAAAGTTGTAATTTTTTTTTTATAGTGTGCGTAATAATTTGTGATAGTGTGCAAAAAATTGTATATAATCTTACATATTATTTTATACGTAGCATACGTAAAAATTCTGTAATCTCGCATATAAGGCTAACTAAAAAGATGTAATTTTGGCTGCATAGCATAATGATACGTAAGATGAAAATATTTTGAAGCGATAACCGTTTGTGCAAATGTACCCTTTTATATTCTGGTATACTGGGAATTTTTGATTAAATTAGCATTATGCATAATACAAACTTTAACGGAATTATTCCCATAACTTTTGAGAAATCGAATTTCGATGCTTTAAATTATTGCACTTATAAAAGTAGCTCATGAAAAAAAAACGGTCGAGAATCTTTGATCATATGATATATATGCGAGTATTTTTGACAATTATGAATTTTCCAAACCTTCCCATTTATAGGTTGGTGAGAGCGAATATATTGGTTTTTACATTCATACATTATACATCATTACTGTATAAATTGTCATGAGTATAGTTGGTGGTAGAATTACTGAATTACGGCACTACGGCATTTTACCAGTTGGTAGAATTAATTGTCACGGATTATCGTGAAATCGGATTATCGTGAAATTTGGATCTATTTTATGTACGATTTTTAAAAATTT